TTTATCAAGCCGTTTACATAAATAATTCCGCCGTGTTAGGCCTTAACTGTCGAAGCCCGAGAGGGGCATTAGGTCCAGTAATTTCACAAATACTTTTATCTTGAGTAAGCAAAGCCGTTGCGAATCGCGGGCAGCCTCAACTCTACCGTAAACCGTGAAATCGACTTTTTAAAGTGTACACTTTATGCTAAAATCTAATTCATGGTTGTATCCTTGAACGACTTGCTCTGGCTCTTTCATTATTCATTCAACCTTCCACCAGAACATCGTCTGTGGCAATCCAAAGGCTATTTTGTTAAAATGATCAGTGATCTGTAACTTTGAGGATCGTTGAACTGAATATGGGTTCTATATCTTTCAATTATATCTAGAATCGTTTTTCAACCCATGTTTATGTTTAGTAAGCTATTATTATCATATATTATAAAACCAACAATGCCGCTAGATTATTTAAATTTATTCCAACGTGGTTGAAAGTGATCTGATAGGTTAGAACGGTAACTAAGGAGAAACCTGGTCTGAACTGTCTTATATAAAATGAACCGTAGGTTCTTTCTAGTTAATGCTAAATAAATAGAAAATATTCTAGTGAATTAGACGAGTTAAGGAATTTCTATTTAATTTTACTTTATCAGATGTTAAAAGAAAATGACATACGTAATATATAAAAACTAGAAAATGTATACAAATAATTTCTAAAGTTAACTAAAATGCGGTAAATTGGTTTCTAAACACTTCACTATGTATATAAGCTAAAAAAAAATCATCATGAAAAGGTTTATTAATAAAGTTGGATGAACCAAAATAGTTCTCATAAAAAACGATTGCCCTCTTTTGAATGACCAGTTTCAGTTAAAAAAAAAAATTAGTGAGCTAACCAAGAATTAAAATACCATAATTGGTGATATACTTCGATATCTGAATCCTTACTATATCATGGGGTATTGCTTTACAGTTATTTGCAAACATCTCAAGATGATGGTCTTTGTTAATTTATCTACCTGAATTTTTTTCCTTCAAATGTATTTTGTCAGTTATTGAGGTATTGATTGTAATGTATAGGCTTTCTGATGGATGCCTGGGAGTTACATGTGTTGCCCATATTAATATCCTTGCGTATTAAGATATCTAGAGATATTGATTGACAAATTTTTGTGAACAGTTCTTGTTGAACCCAGCCAATGCTCAACTCAGTTATTTTGTCTAGTATTTTCCTCTCAAATCTTTCAGTGGTTCTTTCTGAGGTGCTGGTTACTATCCAGGTCTCACAACCGTATATAAAAATTGAACACCTTTAATTTGAGATTTTTCGGGATTTCAAATCCTTGAAAAATAGAAGTAATCTTTGTTTGCGTTTTCTATATTATGCTGTTCTATTTTTGACCGTTGGACATTATTCACAAGTAATGATCCATATTTATTAACATGGGACATGTTAAATAACTATCCAAACTCCGTTTTTTCAATACTGGCAGTTTCCAAAGGTTGTGCTAATCAAATCTTACTAAGAAATATCTCTGGTCTAAATGTTGACACGAAAATTAACGCGTAAATAACAAAACGCTCTCTCGTGTTTAGCGCATTTATTTTTATTCCTGCAGCGAAGTACTGTCAAATATTTAAACTCTTAGTCTCATATTAATTTCAATTGTAAATATAGTTCTGCGTTAGAGACAATATACCTGAAAATCCTACTGAATCAGTAAAATACCTGGATACATTGATGTGCATATAAAAAAAAGGAGCAGAATTTTCTTGAATAATTCACTTCTGATTGTTCAGACATCCACATACCTTGCTCTAGTTTGGCTAGGCCACACTTACGTTCTTTGGTGATTGGAATTAAATGTTTGGCCTGACGTGTGCCACGTAAGTGGTTATGGCAAATACTAAACTATGCGCAATATATATGGCGATGTGTCTCCTTAGTAGATTATAGATGAAAAAATATGGAGAATTTTTGAAATAAGTAATCACTCTCTTTAGGAGATATTTGCTATAGTTGTCGAACAGTAGAGAACATGGACGACAATATTGAGGACAGTGAGGAATAATGTAGGAAGAACTGGAAAGGAGTCGCCATTTCCTAGGGAGCTCCTTCATCGTGGAAGAATCCAGGTCAAGTGCACCGTCAACATCCTGAGGACCACTCCACACCCCCCGCATCCTCTGACAAGTTAATCTCTCTCGGCCTACTCATAACACTAGGGCGTAATGGGGGAGCATCCACATGATACATCACACCTAGAAATATGGTTTTTATTTTTTAAAAACTTTGGCTCGCGATAGGCAAGTTTGTCCATAAATGGTAATCTTTATATAATATGATATTATATATATATATATATATATATATATATATATATATATATATATATATATATATATATATATATATATATGTCATAGATATTTTATTTTTAAAGCCACATGAATTAAGAAATTTTTTAGTTGGATAGATCAGTACTTTATTCGCCTATCATGATAAATTTAAAACAGTAACCAAGTTTTAAAAATGAGATTTCTGAAATGAAAATAAGTTGTAAAAATAAACAAAAAAGATAAAAAAATATGTCTACCCCTTAAATCATTCAGGAATTCACTCCCTCTTAAAATCCGAAATGTCGTTTCCTTATTTACCTTTAAGACCCACCTATTCCACCTTCTCTACATAAAACAGCCAGAGACTGGATGATCATGTATATGTACTTAACACGATTTGGTTTTTGATAGTTACAATGGATTGATATAAATCATTGAATACAAACTTAAATTTCTCACGATTTATGTTCTACTATTGTAAAATTGAATTGAATAGAGGATATATGTACATTTTGTTTATTTCTACTCAATATGTTTCTTTCTTTATTAAGATATTTCGCCAACCTAAAGAGGAAATTTATAGTATTTTATTTGATTTATCTTTATCAGTCTTCATTTGCTCTGTTCTGATAATCTTTTTTTTTTTTTTGTAATATGTAGTCAATATTCGTTTGTCTTTAGACGGAAATAATCTGTATTTTCACTTTTTAAATAATCTGGATGCCGATTTTCATTTTGTCCCAAATTAAATTATTTTTCTAGTATATTTCGTATAAGAATAACACTAATTTGAATAAATTTCAAATCAAGACACTTCAAAACAAATGTCAGGTGGTTATTTTTAAAAAAATATATAAAATAAGAAAAATTATAAATAAGCAAAATGAATGTAAAATGTATTAAATGTAAAGGTAACATTACATGGAATACTTAAATTGGAGTAAGTAGAATTGGATTACAAAATATATACATTTCATCAGTTAAGAACTTCCCCAGTAATAAGAAGGTTAAAATCTGATAAATATCTAATGATGTTAATTTGAAAAAAAAAATTTTTTAATTATTTGAAAATAAAGTCATGCTAGACAGAAAGGCTAAAACTTCATAACCAGAGCGATATTGACGAAGTCGATTATCGCAACAATCACATCCGATTTTATCAGGACACATAAAAACTGGCATGAAAGGAAGCAGGCAGATAACTAGATGATAAACTACTGTCATTAACTTTTTTCCGTTTCCAGTATCCATTTTTTTTCCTAGCGAAGGACGTCATAAATTACCATGTAAACTACACAACAGAATGTCATATCCGATCATCCGGCAGATCGTTTATGAGTGTTGATGTGAAGTCTCAAATAGTGGGGGTTTATCAGAACAAAATGTCTTCATTATTTTTTTATTTTATTTTAATGAATAGAATATAAACAGATATATCTTTTGAAAAAACGAATCATACAAGATGTGTAAACGATTGGTTTTGAGCCGGAAAGGCGGAAACACGAGTATACATTAAAGAGTATTGACAGACGAAGAAAACAAGAAGAACAAAGGAAAAACAACAAACAAAAACAGAAATCTGTAAAACAGAGAGAACATACACAATCGCCGGGATAAGAATAGAAGCTAACATCAACAGATTGAGCTGTCAATCTCAAGTCGACCTTCCTGAGTAAACTGTGGTCTTTCCTCGTTCGCTTCAAAAGAGTCCCGATTTTATTTTTATCCTGTCAAGATTTAGGAAAAATTGACGAATTATCGGTTCCTTTCTTTGACGATTAACGTCAATAACATTTCCAATTATTATCAATAAACAAAGTGGATAAGTAGATATGTTTATTCTAAATACCATTAGAGGGCATAAATTACCCCGGAGTTGAACTAATTACCAGTTAAGTGGAATATACTTCCAGGTGCCGAAACGTAAAATGTTATCCATTAAACAAAGTTGTGCCAACATTACGGCGCTAAAGGGAAGAACACTGTTTGCTCAACACTAATCAGCCCCGAGCTCTCATTTCCATTTACCTCTATTTCTACGGATCGGTTCAACAGGTCCGAGGATAATTAATTATACATTCGAAAAATATTCATTTCGCTCCACCATCGCTCCGTTAGTTTGTTTAATGGGATTTGCATTCTATTTGGTCGGGAGTTCGTGCTTCCAATCCTCCAGCCTTGTTTGGATTATTCCATTACGGGTTCCAGACCCCGTCTCCCTTTTAGCATTTTGTAATCCCAATACAACCCGCAGTTAGCAAACGGTAATGGCTTTATTTATTAGGAAGGCTGTTACAGAGTGGAGAGGGATTTTTAAAATTGATCAAATAATTTATTTGCTTATGATTAAAAATTAAGCTAAATTAGAAGATACTATTATTACTACTAAAGGCCGTTTTACACGGCCAATTTTATTGTGCAAAGCTTTTTTCCGTAAATTGTAGTTTGGTTTTCAACCCCTAGGGTAGATCATCACATACTTTTACACTGTTTTCTGATTAGAATCGGAATTGTACATATTTCTTTTCCCTACGCACAAATGACATTTAATTCAATAACAGTATTCAGACAAAGACACCTCATCACATTGTTATTTGAAAGTCTTAGTTATTTTAATAATTAATAAAAATAAATATAAATTATAAATAATATAAAAAAAAAAATAATGTTCAGCTCACCTGCTTATGCATTTCCACGTTAAGACCATACGACATTTCGTAATACTGAAAAAAGGAATAAAAAAAAATTAATTAATGTAAACACTAGAAAAACTGAATTTCTTTAAACATTCCGCATGCATGAAATATTCGAAACCTAAAAAAACTAAACTTTTTTTTTTCAGGTAATTTCTTTTGATTTATCGTATTCTAAAGAATATTTTAAAATAAGATTATTTTCAAATAACAAGTCATTCAGAATTTTACTTCATTCGTTTTTTTTCATTCACAGCAGTTGTTAAATCAAAAACAATCTTAAAACATGAACTTTTTCAAAACGCAGTAGTATATTAATTATTTTTAAGGTTGTAAAATATTTTCTCAGCAGTCAAGCCTTCAAAATTACCAATGAGATATAAAATGCCTTCTAAGAATTATTATTATTATTATTTTTATGAAAAATCAATTTAAACTTTTAATTAGAGACTAATATTTATGAGTTAATAATTAGATTACTTTCTAAAACATTGACATTTCACGTAATACATCCAGACTCAAAATTTTCTAAGAGAAAGTCAAAGCAAAGAAATAGAAATATTGTAATTTTGAAGACCATTGATGTTATATAACTTAATATTCTTAAACCAGTTATATCTATAAACTTGCTTATTTAATGATGGATAACATTTCAAGGATGAAAAATAGTCAGGAATTGCAGCCATTAATGGAGTTTATTAAGTTTGTCAATGGTTCCAGCCAAGCATGTGGATCTTTATCAGGCAAATGGTATGAAGGCAAGACAAGAAATCTTGCTTGCCAATTTTTTTTTTTCATAAAAACCATTGCCTTGATGAAGCTCACATGATTGTGTTGTGCCCACTGCAAATCCTGATTATTTTTCATCCTATTTTATTTATAAATAGGTAAAAGAATTTTACTGACAATTGAATAAATAACTTACAAACTAATGAATAAATAACTTACAAACTAATGAATAAATAACTAACATAGCTGAATAAAATGTAAAAATAATAAAATATACAGAGCCATTGGAGAAATATTAGTGAGAAAGTAAAAAAAAAAAAGAAAAGCGGTTGCAGTGTGGCATGCAACAGAGCAATCGAGGCATGCACGGGTGAGATGTGGCGGTAACGAATCAGGCTCGCCAACCCCCGGCTACAAGCGTAAACAAATTAATGGCCTAACATTTCCATTAACTCATGTCCAGGTGGCGGCCCTGTAATTTCGTCCTCCCTCCCCCCATCACGGCGAGAGGGCCCCCGCATTATAATTTCATAATCTGAAATTGTTTTCTCTCCCCGCGAGCTGGTCACGAAGGCCACGGTGTAAGCTAGTCAGGTAGTGCACGCCATCACGCTGTAAGTTGTGATCTATCGAAACGTCGATAAATTGATTTTCGTTAAGCTTTTTGTATCAGAAAATTGTAATAACAGATAAAAAACAAAAATTTTTTTGTTTGGATTCATAAGAAACTTAGTAGAGCTGACCTTGACTAAGATTATATATATATATATAATCCTTCAATGGTTAGCGAGGGAAACCTGACTGTTGAGTGTGAAAGCTTACCGCATTACATGCCTATTATAACCGTTGCTTATGAAACCTTACTTATTTACTTTGTAAGCTCAGAGCGCTGAATTCGAAACCCTTCATATGAGGTGGATTATTATTATTATGTTTTGTATATTGCTACATAATAAAGAAGTAAATATTAAGTGTCGGACATCCTGATTCGCTAGGAGCACACAGATATTTTATAGATAGATGTAGCGCCTGCGTATGGGAGAGTTGCTATACTCATAGTTTCGAGGCTCGGTTAAAAGTAGCTCAAATATCTAAAGTTTAAAAATTGCAAGTTAGTCGACTTTTCTACATATCATGGGCGATAAATATTTAGGAGTCAGTCTTTTTTAAAAAAATAAATTTATTTTTTTATTTATGCCAACGTTTAAACCCAAACATGTGGGTCATCTTCAGTGCTCAAACCAAGCCCTGAAGATGACCCACATGTTTGGTTTGAAAAGTTGGCATAAATAAAAAATTAAATTTATTTTTTTTAAAAAGACTGCGTCCTGAATATTTATCATCCATAAAGTTTAAAAACTTAAGAATTGATACATAAAAATAAAATAAAGCACCACATACGTTTCAGGTAATGTTTTTTATTATATTCATAGACTTTAAAAAATAACGTTTGAGTCGTTTATTTTCAAAGAGAAATCCAATCATCATTGACAAACACGAATAATTACATTTTCTACTATAATTTTAATATCTAAAACGAATATTTTTCAATTAATAAATAAAAATAATATTTATATCTAGCACATATTTTTCCGATAATGTATGATTATTTTGATTTTAATTAAAAACACCGATGCTTAAATAAATGTTTAAGGGCCACTTTTGAAAAGAAATAACCTTCAAAGCCCGTTTTTTGAACAAAAAAAATGTTGATTGGGGTTTCGTTTGGAGAGAAAAGGTTACAAATTTCAACTTTTGAAATGCGTGAAATAATATTGACCTTATTTTAATACCGAGAAGGAAACATGGCGGAATGACGAAATTTTATTTTTTGTTTTAAGTTAACGGCTAAGAAATGGGTTTATATAATATCATATAAATATTCGGGATGCATTCGATTTATTATATTTTAAGAAGTAAACTCTCCAAATATATCGAGAGAATGGGCGAACTACCGAAGCAGCTACCACCGTGATCCTCCATTAGGTGTACCCTTAACAGCCGGGGAGCCGATTAGAAGGCGGACGGCAATCTGTTTACAGGCTCGACCAATCAGGAACAGCCATCTATAACAATAACTATCCATAATAATAACAACCGGATCAGTGGTACCAGCTCAACTCTACAGTCGTATAATACCCCCTGCTTCGGAATTTAATCCCCTTTTATTCCATAAATTTACAGCCTATTATTTATTTTTTGAATATGTAATTGTAACAGATAAATTATTACAGCGATCTTCGGTTATTATAGAAGGACTATTTATGTCGCAGTTCTTAACTAGAAAGAGTTTTGTCCATTAAACCTTCTTAAAGATGCATGGTATTAATTTTTTTTTTTTTTTTTAAACCACTATCTTAGATGGAGGAAGATCTTAAAACATGATACTTCACTTAATATCATAGCACAATGTAAATAATTCAGGTAAATCCTATGCTTATTTTTATTTTAACAACGTCCTAAGATCCAACAGCAGCAAGCGAGGATCACAGTTTTATTTTGGTCATACAACCTTAATTTAGTTATCCTAACACAAACTTTTTGGATTCCTAATATTCCAATCCTATAATTAAATGAAGATCCCATCAAATTTTTCCCAGCTTTTATAAAGCATGAAATAAAGTCTTTCTTGAAAAAAACATGAATTCAATATCTCCTTCCTGCTGTGTTTTTTCTACCTTGGAGCGACTAAATTAACTTCGTCATCCATTTCAATTTAAAACCCGTAAGATTCTGCTTACTTCCTAGATATCTCCCCATTTTGAGTATTGTTGTACGGTGTCTTTGAAGCTCTCGAGACAAAACTGTTCCTAAATTGCTTAGTAAAATTCATCTCCTTGACTTCATGGTACTTCATTAAGTTAACTGTTAACTAAATGGTTAGTTAGATTATCTTCACAAGACGAAATATGGAAGCAAAAAATAATATCATTGACATCACAACGGTCTCCTGAACGGTAGTCCATGATAGCGTCCGTTGAATGGACTAAATACATGCACCCTTTGAGCCCCCTCATTCGAATAAGGGGTTGAAACCGGGCCAATGAAAGATTCAGGGGGAGATCGCGTGGCAGCCCACCCCTTTAAAAAATTTAAGAGCCCCCCCAGCTATTGGATTTGATGAGGCGTGGGTTATCCTCGAAGGAGCATCAAAGATGGAACGATCTCTAATTGCTGTGGGAACTGCCTCCTGAATAACGCATAACTCTTCCCCTTTCTTCTAGGGTCGCCATAGTTCTTAATATCCTTTCATTATTGAATTATTTCTTTATGAGAATTTTCGTCACAGATAGTCCTCCATGAATATTTGAATCTTTAATGCGTTCGATATTGGTTTAACTGTCCGTATTTTCAAACAAACGTTCTTTAATAGTATGAATTCAAATTTTTTTATGAGATAGTCCAAACAAAACACTATAATTCAGCGCTTACAAACGTTTCGATCCACTTTGAAAGCATTCATCAGGGAAATAATAAAAATAATAAACACAATCAGCATCTCAACTATTTAGTTATCTCCTGTTTCCTTCAGTATATGTTGAGATGTATTGCAGTAATGTATCTTTCCAAATCTATGCATTATCTACTGATTTTGTCTTTATATCATACAAACCATTAGCGAATCTAGGATTTAATTTTGGGGGGGGGCTTCAGCCCAAAAGATTTTTTTTTTCGTATACATATAACGATAATTATTTTGAAAAAAAAAAGAAAGAAATTAACTATCTATATGAAATGTGGGCGGGGTGGCCGAATGAGCTAACGCGTGTGCACTGCACCGCCGTTGCCCCGCAACCTGATATATCAATCAAAGATATAAAAATAGTCACGAGTTCGCGTCCCGGTGCCCGGAGTTTTTAAATCCCCGCCCACACACCCTGGCCCGGGAAAACCCCCGTATAGCCTTAAAGGCGAGGAAGGGAAGGACAAAAAAAAAAAAAAAAATATCTATATGAAATGGTGTTTAAGTGGTTCTTGAAGTCCTATTAAATGTAATTACACGAACAAGAATACTTTAAGAGATAGTTTATCATATTTTTTTTCTGTAAAACATGGTTATATTTTACCATTTTTTTTGGGGGGGAGGGGAGGAGGGGGTTCAGCCCGATAGCCCCCCGTAGATCCGCTTGTGATACAAACATTTTAGTTTAATTTTTACATTTTCTTCATTTTCAAATTTTTATTTGTTATTTAATTATTCTTATCTTTTTATAACAGCGCTGAAGATCTGTTAAGTGGACCTTCGATAAAAATAGCACAGTCACAACGTGCTTTACTTTGAGTTATCTGTCTACATTGCG